CTTTCGTTGCTACTTTATAACTGTAATTTTGCTGCTGTTATGAATCGTCATGTAAATATCTGATATGCAGGATGTATTTTCACTGTTACAAATTAAACATAATGAAAGCATAGTGATTCATCACAAAAAAAATATGTAATTATATATGTGTTTTCCGACGGTCTTAGGCGACCCCTGTGAAAGGGTCGTTCGACCCCCAAAGGGGTCGCGGCCCACAGGTTGAGAACCGCTGCTCTAAGTGATTAGTTGTAGGCACAAGCCAAACTCAAATACCATTTTAATCCAAGAAGAGAAGTAACTGAAGAGTACAGAAGTGATTTAGATGGTAAAACGCGACTGAGGTTTTTAATAGAACATGTTAGTGGAAAGCTCAGTTCATGTCCATTAAAAATAAAAACACTCTCAATTATCTTTTAGCCTAACAAGAGTCAAGAAAGTAAATCCCCTCCCCCCCGCCCCGCCCCGCCCTTACTGTGCACTGACACCGTTTTACAGAAGTTATTGATCGGACAATATCACCCACACTTTTTCAAAAGGTTACAGTAACGGAAAAACCCGAGTAGCCATAGGGTAACTTCTCATTACACCTCGTTAAGCTCCCTCGCTTTGTATTGGAGCGTCTGAGCGCACCATCCCATCAGAGGCAACTCACTCGGTTTCTCACATTTTGGCCTTTAAGATGCAGCGATCCCAGAAAGCCACATCAGAAGCACGGATTATCCATCAAACGTTAAAACTTGCAAGAACGTACAACATTCGTCTCCTGCGGCACCGCAAACCCCAAGTCCCTATATGCCTACCCTTTTCTGTGGTTTCTCAGCACATTTTCCTAAAACCAGAAGGGACGGCGGGAACCAGGACTTGAGCTGCAAGAACAAGGCCCGCTAAGGAAGCCAGGGGTGGTCTCTTCTCACTGCCCCTCAAGGCATCCAAACGGGGAGAAACTCAAGCGCGGGGTAGGAAGCAAGACTGAGGGGCCTCAGACCGAGCTTTTGGAAAATAGAAAAGTCTCGCTCTCTGCCCCTCAGCCTAACTTCCTTTATTTCCTCACAAGTTTCTCCCTCAAACTTCGGGCTTCCTTCCATCCTGGAAAATATGGGGGGGGAGGGGAGTATGTTCCTCAGGATTTCTCGCTTTTCCCGTCTCTATCCCTGACGAGACAGCCCCTTCACTTCCAGCGCGCTTTTACTCCTCGGCCAAAGGCACAGTCGCCGTGGTTTCTCACTCCCCAGCCTAACCCTAACTCCCGCATCACTCACTGCCTGCCCGGAATCGCCATCTTGCTCCGGTCTCCGCTGAACGTGGCTGACGCCGACGTGACGCTGACGCAGACGCTGACGTAGTCACGTAAACTCTCGCGCGACTTTGGGCGACCAGGAATCCGCGTAGCCCTAGCCGCTGAGTCTGTTTGGAGTGGATTCAAACGCTGTTTTGGAATCTTCTAGTCCCTTGGTCTTCGGTTTAATTTGCAAACCGACTGACTGCTTCGAAATCAGTGGGAAGAAAAGAATGACAAAATTCTAGGCCAGTGGTTCCCATGGTCCCGGGACCAGCAGGTTAGCATTATCCGGGAATTTGTTAAAAATACAAAATACAGCCCTAACCGGTTTGGCTCAGTGGATAGAGCGTCGGCCTGTGGACTGAAGGGTCCCAGGTTCCATTCCGGTCAAGGGCATGTACCTTGGTTGCGGGCACATCCCTAGTAGGGGGTGTGCAAGAGGCAGCTGATCGATGTTTCTAACTCTCTATTCCTCTCCCTTCCTCTCTGTAAAAAATCAATAAAAAATATATTTTAAAAAAATTTTAAAAAAATACAAAATACAAATTAACGGGTCCTATCCCAGAGCTACTGAATCAGGAACTCTGGGATGGGGCCCAGAAATGAGTTGTTCAGTATAAGTACTTCGGGCTCAGGGTAATTTGGTAGAAGGTGAAAATCTATATCTTAATAGTGTCTCATGGAACCAGATTGCTAAATAATACCGTGGTACCAATGGGTATAGGAATCAAAATCATATGCCATACTCTTTTTTTAAAAGAAATTCTAGTCATATTAACTCACTCTTGGCCCATTCCAAACTAGTCTTATTGCAGCCGAAAAATCTTTCAATTTCTACAGAGGGATGTTTAAGTCTCCAACTAGATTTGTCTATTTCTTTTAATAAGTTTTTGTTCCAAGTATGTTGAAACATTTAGGATTATTATGTCCTCTTGCATTGACCCCTATACCATTAAAAAAATAACCCCCTTCCCCCCCTGTAAAATCTTCATATTTATTCCATAATAATGGAATCTCTCCCATCATCATCAGTTTATTCTCAAGTAAAAACTGGATCGCAATGCCATTACTTTGACTTAACGACCTTCTCTCAAACATGACTGATAAGGAAAGGCAATAATGGTACTAATGATTTGTTCAGATGCCAGTATACATCTTTAATTTATCACAGTTTACCTTCAAGTAAAAATATATCACTTTATTTATAGTATAAAAAAACTTTATAGCCCTGGCTGGATAGCTCAGTTGATTTGGATTGTCTACCAGTGGTTCTCAACCTTCCTAATGCCGCGACCCTTTAATACAGTTCCACATGTTGTGGTGACCCCCAACCATAAAATTTTGTTCGTTGCTACTTCATAACTGTAATTTTGCTACTGTTATGAATCATAATGTAAATACCCGATATGCAGGATGTATTTTCATTATTACAAATTGAACATAATTAAAGCACAGTGATTAATCACAAAAACAATATGTAATTATATATGTGTTTTCCAATGGTCTTAGGTGACCCCTGTGAAAGGGTCGTTCCACCCCCAAAGGGGTCATGACCCACAGGTTGAGAACTGCTGGTCTATAACATACAGTGTCATTGTTACTTGTAAGCTATGGAGAAAGGGTCAATAAAAATTCAACTATTCAAGACTAGGTTTCTGAATTAGAAGTAAACATATAAGTAAAACTATCTAGTCCAGCAGTTTTCAACTGGTCTGTTGCAAGGATTATTTTTAAAATATATTTTTATTTCAGGGAGGAAGGGAGAGGGAGAGATAGAAACATCAATGATGAGAGAGAATCATTGATCGGCTGCTTCCTGCAGGCCCTCCACTGGGGATCGAGCCCACAACCCCGGGCATGTGCCCTTGACTGGAATCAAATCTGGGACCCTTCAGTCCGCAGGCTGACACTTTATGCACTGAGCCAAACCAGCTAGGGCTGTCGCAAGGATTTTTAAAACATGCAATATCTGACACTAAGTCATCAACTGATGTGCTGTAGCACACAGGTTTTAAAAATTCTTGTGGCACACTTACTGAAAATCACTTTAGTCAAACAGATTTAAATATAAATCGATATCTAAACGTTCGTTAAGTTTAAGAAATATCTTCACTAAAAAGTAAGTTCTATGTCCTACTGGCGTGGCTCAGTGGTTGAACGTCGACCTATGAACCATGAGGCCTCCATTCGATTCCCGGTCAGGGTACAAGACCGTGTTGCAGGTTCCATCCCCAGGACTTGATTCCCAGTGTGGGGTGTGCAAGAGGCAGTTGGTCAATGATTCTCTTTCATCATTGATGTCTTTATCAACCAATCTGCCTTGCTAGTTGTTTAACTTTACAGTCATTTCCAAAAGACTGAATGCACGATTATTAGCCTAGTAAAGGGTGGAAAGTGTTAGTGAGGTGTCTGGGGTGCTGGCAAGGGTAGTAACCCTACCCTGTCTCTTCCTAGTTATTGTGACCTAGGTAACTTACTCACTCTTAGAGACTTTCTCATTTATAAAATGGAGATAATAACCTGCCTATCTTACAGGTTATCAGGACAATAAAATGAGCTAGTGTGTGAAAATACTTCAAACAAGTTAAAGCACCATGCTAATATATTTATTGTCATTACACAAAATGCCCTTTAGTTAACTAATCCCAGGATAGTGGTTAAAAAGGTAGCATTCTATACAAATTTGCCCTTCTTGCTGCCCAAAATACCATTTGTATTCACAGTGAACTCTTTATAAGCTGTTCTGAAGCCATCAGGATATGGGGCTATCAGTTTAATATCTTCAAGAACCTTGTTCCTAGAAATGTTGCTGCAAATGTCCTGAAAAGCCCTCTTTCTAATACAAAAGAGGCTTATAGGTTAAAACTGGGCATGCGATCATTCAAGAGATGAGGACTGGTAATAACACTGCCATCTTATCAGAAAAGGTTAAAGAGGGACCTCAAATTATAAGATGTTTGGAACACAACATATTTTTTTCAACCAAATAAAAAAAATGAAGTTTAATTTCCCAAAATTTTATTAAAAACGGACTGTCATCAGATATTTTATTGCAAAGATGAAATCTCACAACAGAGCAGTAAAGTTTGCTGTACCAACAATCTTTAAGTAAATATAAATTCTTTTTGTAGTTCTTGAACTTGAGAGGTTATGTTGTTATTTTTTTTAAGGTGTTTTCTTTTTTCCATGAGTCTTGGACAAACATTTTCCCACAAGGATTTCTATTTATTGAAATAACTTGTTACTAAGGTAAGTGTGTGTGTGGTGATGAGGAGGGAGAAATGGTAGTACTCATATTAGTCTTTGAAAAATTAGAAAAACAATTCCCAGTCCATTTCTTAAAAATCTTTATTATTTGGTCCTCTTTTGATGTAAAAGCTGCCATTTTATTTTCTGAATCTTTGGTCTTTACTTTGTACCTTAAAAGAATGAAAATAACTCTCTTCAGCCAAGCATAATAGTCCCATGGCAGATAAAAACTAAAATTGAAAGGAAAGATTTGAATATATTCTATAACATGCATTTGTTTATGGCTACCTTAACTGTATATTTTTTAGATCTAACTTCTCCTTAGGTAGCACTTTTGATTTTAAAAAGTGCTGAGGCAAGTGTCTAGTAGCAGCATATGTCTATATGTCTATTTTCTTCCAATTGAAAATATTTTATAGTTAACAAAACTGCACATAACAAAAATATTCTAAATACAGCACCAATTCCATTATCATTTACCTAGCAAGCTTGCACCTGGCATTTTGGCATACACACAGGAGTCAGTCTTTGAGGGCAATGGGGGTATAATAGCACCATTTAGTTTTATCTTTAGTTCTATGAGAGCTAAACAGATGTGTGACCAATGGTATAGGTACTCCATGACAATACTATGCAATTTCCACACATTGATTCGGGAATGACCTGCACCAAAGGGGAAAAAAAAGTTAGTGTGAATAGTTTTGCACTTTTTAAATTAAAATGTAAGTTCCATTATTATGATGAAAGTTCATTAGATATGTTTGGAGTAAAAACCATAGCAGAATCTTGTTTAAATATCTAAGAATTAAAAATTTTGGTGTAGTCATCTAATGAAATACACAGCATTTAACAACAATTAAAGAATTAGAGCTATATATATCATGTGGATAAATCTCAAAACATTGAGCACAAAATGTAAGTTGTAGGATAATATGTTCTTTGGATACAATTTTTAAGTTTTAAAACCTGTAAAATAATGTATTGTTTATGGATTCATAAGCATGTAGTAAAAGTAAGAAATCATTCATAATAAATACCAAATTCATAATAGTATTATCTCTAGGGAGGAAGAAAATAGGATCAAGGAGGGGTAGAAAGTCTCAACTGTTCCTTTAATGTTTTTTGTTGTTAATCCTCACTGGAGAATATTTTTCCATTGATTTTTAGAGAGTAGGAGGAAAGAAGGGAGAGGAAGAGAGACAGACAGATGACAGACATTAATGTGAGAAAACATTGATTGGTTGTGTCCCACACCCACCCCAACCAGGCTGGGATCGAACTTGCAACCCTTCTGTGCTCTCGTTGACACTAACCACTGAGAACACTAGCCAGGGCCTTATAATGTTTTCTTTTTTTAAAAAAAGTCTGACTCAAACATCATAATATTAAGGTTGGATATAGAATATGGGTCCATAATGACTACAGGTGTTAGTCTCAAACTTCTATGTTTGAAATATTTCTTAATTTAAAATTACTTTAAAATATAGAATCACTACATACCATTAAGATTCATGTAAAATTGAAAAGCATTAAACTGCCATTTATAAAAGTTACTTTTTCCCAGAAGTCAATGACTAATGGTCAGATAGAATGGTCAAATGCAGCGGTTCTCAACCTGTGGGTCGCGACCCCTTTGGCGGTTGAACGACCCTTTCACAGGGGTCGCCTAAGACCATCCTGCATATCAGATATTTACATTACGATCCATAACAGTAGCAACATTACAGTTATGAAGTAGCAACGAAAATAATTTTATGGTTGGGTCACAACATGAGGAACTGTATTTAAAGGGCCAGAAGGTTGAGAACCACTGGTCTAATGGAAAGACTATATGGTAGTGTTGAACAGATCTGGGTTCCAATTATTTTTTAAATATATATTTTTTGATATCAGAGAGACGAATGGAGAGGGGAAAAAGGATAGAAACATCATTGGATCAGCTGCCTCCTGCACAGCCCCAGGCATGTGCCCTGGGTTCATTGGTTGGCATTCAACCACTGAGCCACATTAGCCGGGCATGGGTTCTAATCTTGACTTTACCCCAACTAGTCTTGTGCCCTGGAGCAGGTCACCTAATTGTTCTGAACCTGTCTCTTCTTCCATAAAACAGGGATAATACCTTAGAATTGTTATGAAAATTAATGAGAAAAGATATGTGAAAATCTGACACAGAGTAGTTGCTAAAAAAAATAAATATTAATTGCCTTCTTTCAGATGCCTCCCACCCTCAGGTCTATGCCTAACTCAACAATGTTTGCTGATTTGAGTTGAATAAACCATAAATAATATTTATAATTGAATAAGAGGTTTTAAATATTTCCTATCCATAGTTTTTTTTTTTTTAAAAAAAAATATTTTATTGATTTTTTACAGAGAAGAAGGGAGAGGGATAGAGAGTTAGAAACATCGATCAGCTGCCTCCTGCACACTCCCCACTGGGGATGTGCCCACAACCAAGGTACATGTCCTTGACTGGAATCAAACCTGGGACCCTTCAGGCTGCAGGCCAACGCTCCATCCACTGAGCCAAACCGGCCAGGGCCATAGTTCTTTTTAAAAAAATTGATTTTAGAGAGAGAGGGAGGGATGGGGTCAGAGAGACAGCGAGAAAGAGAAACATGGATTGGTTGCCTCCCAACCAGGGATTGAACCCACTATCTGACCATATGCTCTAACTGGCAATCAAACTAGTGACCTTTCAGTGCCTGGGACAATGCTCAACCAAGCAAGCCACACTGGCCAGGGCTCTCCATAGCTCTTTAACAATGACAGTTGTTACTTATGGATATCTATTAAATGAAAGACAACATATTTTACTTCCCTATCGTCTGTCAACATGAAGGCACATAAAATGTGGAAAACATTCACAAGTCTCAAATTTTTTTTAAACTGACTTTAAAACGCAGACACAATGTTCTAGAATTCTCTTTTAACACACACACACACACACACACAGGCACTGTCTTCTCCCAATTATAAGTGTTCAATAAATGTTGAATTGAAACAACATTCAATTATGGAATAATTAAGTTAGTTTTTTCAAATACTAAGTCTTTTCAGATTATAACTCAGTAACATTAGTGACAATTATGAATAAAAACAAATGCTGGTCCTGAGAGCACATGAAATGTACCTGATTCACCTCATGTTATGGGTAATACTAGACCAATCAACATACAAATGTACAATTTTGAGGTGCATTTTGTTATAATTGATCCCTTTTTGTGTTTATTAGTTCCTGAAACAAAGTAATGCTATAGACTGCAAAGATTACTCTGATTATCTTAATGTTATGAATTTAATTAAATAAAAGATCACCCCAGAATACTTTTAAAACCAGTCCTAACTGATTTTCTGACATAGGACAGCTCTCCTGCTCCCCACAGCTTTTATTCTCCCCCTCCTAAACCCCCATGAAGAGCTCTGTTTCTTTGATGCCTGCCACAGTGTTCTTATCTGACATCCAAATGAATAGACTCCTATCTGCAACCATTATTAAGCCAGTCAGCCATCGCCATGGTGATTCAAGGACTCGAGAAGAGGGAGCGAGGTCACTCCCTTTCACAAGCCCCTGTGGCTTATTTCCTGTCTTGTTACCAGGGACAGAAGCTCCAAACCTGTCTGGGCCATAGTTTCTGTTTCCTGCCCTTTCCAGTGCGAGATTGATGTAGTAACAGCTGGCTTTAATTTATTCCTCGAATGAAGCCTCCATTGCTCTGTGGCAGTGATTTTCAACCTTCTTCGTCTGATGGCACACATAAACTAATTACTAAAATTCTGTGGCACACCAAAAAATATATTTTTTGCCGACCTGACCGAAAAAAAAAAAATAGGTATTCTTTTGATTTATTCACACCTGAAAGCTGTTGTGTTGGCTGTTGTCATTTTTTTATTTGACAATCTGAGGGAAAAGTGGCCAGTGCTACTGACTAAATAGTCAGGTATTGCAGGTTGTAAACATTCTTGTGGCACACCAGTGTGTGGTGGCACAGAAACGGGTTGAAAATTGCTGCTTTGTGGGGTTCCCATTAACAGTGGTTGAGCACTGCTGCTCTCTTGTGGTGGATAGATGCCAGATCTTTGCAGCAATTCCACAGATTTTACAATTCTTTCAAGCAAACACACTACTTTTTTTTTTCCTTTTCTAACCATAAGAAATTGTTGTGCTTTTTTTTTTTTTTTTTTTTTTGCTTTGCTTTGCATTGGTAAGGGTTATAGGAAATTATTTGAAGACATCTGAGCTAAAATAATTGCTGAGACAAACTTTGAATCTGTTTATAAACCTATTGATTTCAAAAGATTCAAGTTTAATCAAACTTTTAATTCCATAGGAAATTCATTTTGATTAAAACATTAGAATAATATGGGATATTTCTAATTAAACCTCCATTTATGGATCTCTGCTTTAACACTGGATTAAGTTAAATCTTCCACTTTTTTTCTTGAGTTATCAAAGTTTGGGTGGAAGTTTATTCCAGGCTGAACATTGAGTTCTTGCATTAATTTCATTCCTAGTGTAAGCACAACTTCTGCACAATATCACATTGTATTGGCTTTTTAAAATGATGTAGCCATAGATCAGATTATGTACAAATTGAAATCAATGCAATTTATCTTTATAAAAATTCATACTTTAATATAGCAGCTTTTAAATTCTTAGATCATATCCCTCTATCAGTAACGGATGTTGAACATGATCCAAATATATGTATATTTATTTATAAATTATTTATTTTAAAACAGTAAAAAATAGAAATCCGACATTGATGGGATAAATGTATTACAAATAAAAGTCCTGCACTATTTCCTTGCACTTCAGTGGTGTAGGTATCAGTTGTTTGTGCCTTTTGTTTGCTCCTTTTTGTTGGAGCTTAGTGGGGAAAGCCTACAGGTGTCTCAGTGTTCAGTAGACACACTCATACTCTCCCTGTTTTCACTCTGGTGCTCTCCCTTCTCCGCTGTGTCTGACGCCCCCTAGGTCAGAGACTTTCTATGTTACCTTTTCTGAGGAAAAAGTTCCTAGGGTTGGGGTGAGGAGTTGCCTAGAGTGTAGGAGATGTAAAGAAGATGACATACAAACACCAAAACACTGAAACAGAAGGAAAGAGGAGAAACAACAGGGAGAAGAAAACTTTAAAAAATAATTATCATTAATACCTTCAGAGAGAGAAGACATTGCATTCAAGAAACAGAACAGATGTTGTAATAGCAAGTATTTAAAGAACAGCAACAACAAAGCTCTTAGACATTAAAGCATGCAGAAACAAATATTCAATAGGATTAGAAGAATGAGAATGTCTCAGAAAGTGGGAAAAAAAAGACAAAAAGATGCAAAATAGGAGGAAAAATACAAGGATTTGGGAGACTAAATTTAGGCGATCCAATGTCTAAACAATAGGAATTCCAAAGACACAATACAGAAAAGAGGGCAGGGCCACCACCAACCTCTAGGTCATCTTTGTGTAAATGAGAAAAAGACACCCACCATGGAAGAATGCACTCTGTGAGCACATAGCTTGATGAGCAGAAAAAGGTGTGTCAAGAAAGAGATGCCCCTCATACAAGCAGATGTGGCCTTATGCTAAAGCACACAGTTTAATGAATGGACTCCTGGTTCGATTTCAGCCCCCTCCCACCTCCTCAGTAGAGCACCTTTGTGCAGT